GCGCGGCCGTCCGTGGCCCCACAGCCGGCCGGCCCCGCTCGGGTCCGGGAATGGGAACGGGAACCCGGACCGCCACCGGTCCTCACCGTAATGCTCTGGAAGACGCCCCCGGCCGTGGCTGCCCAGACGTATTTGGCGTCGCAGTAGCCGACAATGGCGGCCTCCTGGCAGCAGCCATCGCACATCAGGTTATCCACGTAGCTCTGCCAACCGGCCATCTTCGAGCCCTTCGCACTGCAGCGGGGACGGCGAGGAGCAGCAGGCGCAGCGGCGGCGGCAGCGGGCGGCGGCGGCGGCGCGGGGGGAGGCGGGGCGGGGGCGGGGAGGAGGCGGCTCTGCGCAGGCACCGACCGCCCCCCTCCCCGAGGAGCTGCGGAGGGAGGACGCGGGGACGACGGTGAGGGACAAGCCGCGGAGCGCGCCCGGCCTGCCTGCCTGCCCGCCCGCCCGCAGCCGCGGGGCTGACTAGCCAGCGGCGGGAGGCTGCGGAGCGGCAGTGCCGGCAACGACGGTGTCCGCGGCCGCTGCTCCTCACCGCGGCACCTTTCAGTCCTCCGCGGCCACGGCGGGGCGGGCGTGCGCGCGCTCGTGCGTGCGATCCTTCCGCGGCGCCCCGACTCGAAGGGTCCCGGGAAGGGAGGGGGAGGCTGAGGCGGGGGCGCGGAGGGATACCGCTCCGGGACAATCACGGCCGCCACGTGCGGCGGTGAGGTCGGGATGCTGGTCGCTGGCGGTGATGCCGTAGGCCCGCGGAGAGGGCGGCTTCTCCGTCGCGTTCTGCACCTCAGGGACAGGGGCGTCTGGGACGCCTCCAGTTCCCGCTGCTGGGCCACGATGCGCCTGTCTTCTCTGTCCGGTGGCTGGGGATGCGGAATTTTGAGCTCGGTGTTGGATTGCGGAGTTGCCCTGGTGATGGGATGTGGAGTGTTTACTCCTGTTCGTGTTGGGGGTGGCAGTGGCAAGGTCGCCCACGCTCGTCTCGGGCGTCCTCAATAGGATCCTCTTCCTTGGAGCCCCCTGCCCTTTGGCCATACTGGCAGCCGCGCGGGCGCGCCCCGGCAACCTGAAATCTGAGCTGCCGTTTGTGGCTTTCACGAACATTTCTGAGCTTTGCCAGTCTTTCATTGTTGCCGCTTTGGGGGTACCAGGGCCTCACATTCTGTGGATTCTTTGACAGTAAGAACTCCCTTAAGGCTGCTAATCACGTGTGGGTAAATTGCTCGTAAATTCCGAACAAGTAGCGACCTATGTAAACTATTGGTTAACTGGGAAAGTTATTGGTGGGTCAAAGAAATCGCTGAAAATAGAATTTAAAAACTCTAAGAAAGGGTTCCCTGGATGAATATGGTAATATTTTTGCTATCCAAGGGTAAAATAATTGCAGCACCCAGATGTAAGAATAGGTTGTGTTTACAAGGTAGAGTCCCAGTGATCCTCTCATCTCTTTAGTAACCTCTGGGTGCTTTGACTGAACGAGGAATTAGGAGACGTCTTATAATAATTTTAATTTCAGGTGAACAAAAACGATCTGCCAATCGAGGCAAAGAAGAAAGCTCATTTAAGACGTTGAAAAGTTGATTTTCAAATTTAAGGTTAACGCATAAGGGCACGATTTGTGGACACAGCTGTAGCTCATGAAAGAAGACAAAAGTGTTGCTAAGCAATCTAATTGATTCTGAAGTTTTGTATTTTTACTGCTGAAATCCCCTACCGCAAGGGAAGGGGTGGGGGATGGGGGTTGAGAAGCACAGTCGGAGAATCCCCACGTCAGGAACGTTATCAGTTTGAGACCATTGTATCTTCTCATGTTCTGATGATACAGAATACCTGTGTGGTCTAAAATGTGTGCCAAATTGTTTTATTTTTGCAGGTGTGCTCCCACCTGATTTAGTTACACTTACTGCTTTACTACTTTGCCTCTTTGTGCTGGTTATTGATGGTTTTAATACTTCAATCTTAGCCATTTATCACCTCAGAAGTTAATGATACAGTGTGCTGATAGCACTGATCTGGTCACTTTGTGAGAATTCATCAAGCTGTACAGTTGTGATTTGTGCTCTTAGTATGCATGTTATAATTCAACAAATTTAAACAGTAAAGGTGAGAAAATAAAATAACTTGAAGTATATTGAAATTGAGTTATTTATTCTACTCTGAAGCTTTTTTCTGAGATATCATTTCTAGAATATTATAGCAAGGGGTTAGAAATAACTACATTCCATTTTTATTCTTTTATTCTTGTCTTTAAACAGGAAAGGGATTAGACCAACTGAATTTTCTGGATATTCAAATCTCAAAAGATTCTAAAAAGATTCTCAAACACATCTATTGGGTAAAACATTCATAAGAATTTAGAATTTCTGGGGTCCCTGGGTGGTCTTAGTTGATTAAGCATCCAACTCTTGGTTTCAGCTCAGGTCATGATCTCACAGTTAGGGGGGTTGAGCCCCACTTCGGGCTCTGCACTGACAGTGCAGGGCCTGCTTGGGATTCTCTCTCCTGCTCTCTCTATCCCTCACCCAAGCACGCACACTCTGTCTCAAAATGAATAAACTTTAAAAAAAGAATTTAGAATTTCTATTTTTCCATATTTTAAAAAAATTTACTACACCTTAAAATTACTGCTTTACTTTTTCAACATAGTGCTATTACTTTCCCAGAACTGCATACAGTAAAATCTATGAAAAACTTATTTTATGTAATAGACTGAGGTTTTACAGTTTAGGTTTTTAAATAATATGTTCAAAGAGAGTCTACTATCTGTTTTAAGTACAGACAGTCGTTATTATGGCTCAACTTAATGTTTTCAACTGTATCGTGGCAGGTAATCCATAGGCATTTAGCAGAAACTGTACTTCAGAGTTTGAATTTTGATCTTTCCCCAGGTTAGCAGTATACAGTGTGATACTTGTGATGCTGGGGCAGTCAGTCAACAGTCAGCTCCCAGTCAGCCACGTGATCACAAGAGAAAACAACTGATACACTTGCAACCATTCTGTTTTTCACTTTCAGTATTCAATAAATTACAGGAAGTATTCAATACTTCATTATAAAATAGACTGTGTGTTAGATGATTTTGCCCAACTGTTGGTTAATGTAAATGTTCTGAGCACATTTAAGGTTGCTAGGTTAAGCTATGACATGTGTAAGATCATACGTATATTAGGTATATTAAATGCATTGCTGATTTAAGATATTTCCAGTTTGCCATGAGTTTATCAGGATATAATCCCACTGTAAATTGAGGAAGATCTATACTATAATAAAATAATTTTGTACCTATTTTCTTTAGAACCAGCTTTCTAGCATGTTGCCTTATTTTCTGTTTGTACACCACGATCTGTTACAATTTCATATAAGTTGCTTACCACAACGTTATATCAAAAGATACAAGTATAGGAAGAACATATTTAGGAATAGCAATATGTTAAGTCCATAGGAGTATCAATCTAAAAAACAAAAAATGAATTAACAATTTGTATCATTCTCTACTTTTTTTTTTTCAGGGTAACAGTGATAATAGCAATGTCTGGGCAGAAGCAGAGAAAAATCTTAGCTCTTGCTGATACAGACATCCAGAATTAACAAACAGTGGTAGCATATTTAAATTAAGAGTGAGTTATGCATTCTTTCCAAAATGTTTAAATTCTTATTTAGGAAAACAGAAACTATGTAATAAATCAGATCCCTTGATGTATCAGTCAAGGAGTGTCTGAGAATTTTAAGTCCATGAGTAAATTATTTGACATTTTCCCAAAAGCACAAACAAGGAGTTAAGTTGTGTTAAAATGTACTTAACCTGTTAAACATTGGTGTAGGCTAAAACTATATAATTTCCCCCAAATATAGTAAAACCATAATTATCTAAGCCTACCCCAAGCCCTCAATTAGCTAAAATTTTCACATCCATATTTAGTTTTTGAAAAAAGTGTTTTAGTTGTAAAAATAATTATAAAACAATTAACAAAACTTAGAAAATGGAGAAAAACCACCCTTAATCCCACAATACATGTTTTCTTTTGAATATATTCACTCATTGTTCTATTTATGATTTTTATAGTAAAGAACACAGTACCTACAATTCTAGATTTCTTCATTTTATCTTGAAATTCTATGAATTTTTGTTTTTAATAGCTTGAGGTTATTTAATTGGATACATACAACTTAAAAGTGTTATATTTTCATTCTGATACATTTAACCATTGCATTAAATAGTGGCCCTCTTTTATCACCAATAATGCTTTTTGTCTTAATTTTTTATTTTGTCAAATATTAAGGTAACTATTCCTGCTCTCTTTTTATTAATGTTTATCTGGTCATTTCTCTCTCCCTCCCCCTTCCCTGTCCCCTCCCCTTTCTTTTCCTCACCCCCCAACCTCCCATTCCCTATTCAACCCACACCCCACCACCCCCCTTCCCTGTCCTTAAATTTTAGATGTCTCTTGTAAACTTTACATAGCTGGATTTTGGCTTTTTTATACATTGTTTTTTTTTTTTTTTTTTTTAATTTTTTTTTTCAACGTTTTTATTTATTTGTGGGACAGAGAGAGACAGAGCATGAACGGGGGAGGGGCAGAGAGAGAGGGAGACACAGAATCGGAAACAGGCTCCAGGCTCTGAGCCATCAGCCCAGAGCCTGACGCGGGGCTCGAACCCACGGACCGCGAGATCGTGACCTGGATGAAGTCGGACACTTAACCAACTGCGCCACCCAGGCGCCCCCTTTTTTTTTTTTTAATATAGTACAGTACTCTCTTCCTTATGATTTGAATCAGTAACGATTCCAGTCAACAGTAGTCTATTAGTAGTTAAGTTTTGGGGGAGTCAAAAGTTATATATGGATTTTTTACTGCATGAGGGGTATGTGCACCTAACCCCTGTGTTGTTCAAGGTCAACTGTATACATATACATTTGCTATCTAACTTACCATTCCTTCTTATGTCTCAGACCATCATTCTATTATCCTTCTTCCTGAAGTAAATCTTTAGAAGTTCTTTTAATGGAAGTTTCTTGGTAAATTCTTTTTGTTTATCCCCAAATGCCTTCATATCACTTTCACACTTAAAAAATAGATTGGATTTACAATGCAAGACTGACACTTTCAAAACATGGCATTAATTCTGGCTTTCACCATTGCTGGTTGTACTTTTATGAATGATCTGTTCTTTCTCTGGCTACTTTTGGAATCTTTTTGCTGTTCTTCAGTTTCACTATGATGTATCTATATCTGAGTTTCTTTTACTCTGCTTGGTAAGATAGACTTATGTCCAT